GGGGGTGGTGGGGCACCGCAAAGTCGACCGGGAAGTTCGCCAGGGGGTCGGGCTGGTGACGTCACACGGGTGCCTTGCTGGCAATAAAATGGCGGATGATGGTGGGTGGAAAAAAAGGCGGCAGGGAAGGAGAGGGAGAAGGGGCAACAGCCTTCACCTCTCCGGGTTATGTTCACGATGACAAGACCGTGCGATGCCCAGATGTGTCCACTTTATCAAGACTGAGACGGTCAAATCGCAGACACAGTGGGCGTCTTCTACGTGTCGAGGACACAGTGGACGTCGTTGTACACGAGCGTGATGAAGAAAGAGATTTGTTCTCCGGTCTTGTGACGTTTACTATTAAACTCTAGTGCTCAATTCATTAAACAGGTGGGTTCTCTGTGAGTTATTAGAAATAAACATCTATCTCCCACAGAAAAAGAACATGTAATTCGTAACGATAATGCTTTTAGTTTAAATTAATTTCAATGGCCGTATACTTTCCTTTTGTTTTTTCTTAACACGTTAGACCAAAAATTTAATTTGATAATGTAGTCCACCGAGAAACTTTCTTATTCAACGGCACTTACAAAAACTTTTTTCAAATTCTCCATCTACCATTTCAAGATAATATGGCTCGTATTCAGAGAAGAAGAAAATCCTGAGTGAAAAAAGGTCGGGTCTTGTTTCTTCGATTAATTGTTGGAAGATCGAATACCCCGAGGATCGAAGGGCGAGGTTATGTGGATGGACGGAGGGCGAGTAGATTGTGAGAAATCAGAGACCCGGTGTGTCCTTTGTTTTCACGGGGCAATGATAAGATCGCTGTGGTGAATGGACGATGGGGCAAACAGTTTGCAAGGTTGCTGCTGTTGTCGTTGTTGCCCCTGCAGTTCTAGGTGTTGTTGCTGCTGCTGTTGTCGTCCTTGATGGTGATGGTGCTGGTGGTGCTGGTAGTTAGGCCTCTTGTGGGATATCCAGAGCTGTGTGTCTTAAATTTTTTAAAACATCTGTGGAGGGGAAAAAATAAAGCATTACAAGAGAAGTTTAACAAAAACAACCAAACTAAACAAAAAAAAAGAAGAAAAAACCAAAATCAAAACCGAAAAGCCAACCAAGCAAGATAGAAAAAATACCAAACCCATCAACAACACCCCTCCCCCAACAAAAATACCCCCTCCCTCAACCCCCACCCCCTCCCCGCACCCCAAAACTTAAAAAACCCAACAGAAAAGCGCACTAAGCAAACTTTTATCTATAATGATATGTGACTGCACAATTAATATTTCTAATTAATTAAAAAACACAAGCATTCTTGGTGGTAGGAGCAGCTCAAACTGTTGAGAATATCGGTGTCTTTCGTATAGTGGTAAGATTTTGCTGTTGCACTTGAAAGCCACGAGTTCAATTTCCTCTTATGGAAATCTATTATTATATTGCTGGGCTTTCCAGTCCCTCTGCTGCGACACTATCTCCGCTCATCCCGGGATGACCAGGTTCCAAGCAAGCCGCTTCCAAAAAGTGACCAAAGCTATGTCGGGGCATACAGCGTGTGCAATAGTTCATGATCCGATGGAAATCGTCGTGTCTGCACCCACCCACCACCCCCCCTCGCACACACAC